ATTTATTATATATATATATATATATATGCACACACTTAAGTATTGTCACACACACCTGCGTGTCGTGTATCGTTGGTAGCCAGTACCTGCGCAGACAGTGATGTGTAGAATGCCTCAAACTGCACCGCAGCCGTAGGAGTTCGCACCATCAGAGCAATGAAGCTCAGCGCAGCGTTGAGCGCCCCTCCTTGCAGTAGAGGAGACGACAACAGGCGCACACACGCAACTAGGATAGACCCATCACCTGTGCCTGAGACACGGTGGTGGGTGGGGTGGATGAGGGTAGATGGGGGTCAGTGTAGGTAAATAGATACCATGTAGGGAACAAGGGTAGACCTGAGGCTCTATAGAAGAATACCTCAAGGGAACGGGTGTGGATGTGATTGTGTGGATGTGTGAGGAAGAAGTTGGGTGTGGGTTTGTGATTTGTCGTGTTGTTGTGAAAGCGGTGTGGTGAATGCTGAATGGTCTCTCAGACACACACACGCACGCACGCACACACAAACACATACACGTATGCACGCATGCACACACAAACACATACACGCACGCACACACACAAACATATACAAACACATACAAACACGCACATACACACAAACACACACAAACACACACATATAATATATATATATATATTATACGCATTCAGACATAACGCACACCTATATACACGTACAAACACCACACAAATAGACATCTTCTGAAATACTCTTCAAAGTACAATCAGATTTAACACACACGCAAACATACATACATACATACATACAGACATACACACTTACCCACACCCTCGCCCTCCTCATCCTGCGTCGGAATCCGCGTCGCCATTTTCTGCGCCAGTTCAGGGCGTGCGGTGACCACGCGCGTAACAAAGCACAGCACGGCCTCCGTCAACTGCAGATCTGTGTCTGTGATCACACGCGGACATTCGCTGAGCACGTGCTCGAGCGCTTGCGCGGCTGGTGCGCCTCCGCCGTTGAGGTGGTTGTTGATCTGGCGGTAGTGTTGTAGTATGGTTAGTCAGTTGGTATGTAGTGACGACCAGAGTATCCCTGTCCCGTTTATATAAAGGGACTGGTGCATTGATTGATGAGGTGCGTAACTGTTGTGGTCTTACTACACGCAGTTGGGATTGAACATTCATGTGTGGGTAAACCCTTCGTGTGTAGGTAAACCCTTCGTGTGTAGGTAAACCCTTCGTGTGTAAGTAAACCCTTCGTGTGTAAGTAAAACCTTCGTGTGTAGGAAAACCCTTCGTGTGTAGGTAAACCCTTCGTGTGTAGGTAAAGCCCTCATTCCAGCTTGATGTGTGTCGGATGGTATGAGCGGGATTGTGCAGCAGATGCTGTGGTGTAGATGTCATGTATGTGGAGGATAGGTGTGATGTGGCATGAGATACGACAGACGACCATTGGAGGGTTGTTGAAGTTCGGTACCCTTTTTGGCACTGTGAATATGGGAATCTTAAACCCTAGCGCAGGTCTCAGCAAAACTGACTGCACCGTAGAGGGAAAACGCCGGAATGAAGAAACAGAAACACATATACATACATGAATACATATATAGATATACATGGACGCATGCATATATTCATGAACATATATACATGCATGACCACATATACATACATGACCACATATATATATATATATATGAACACATACATATATATACATGAACATATATGCATACATGAATATATATAAAAAACATGGAC